AAAAGGGCACCGGCAACGCCTCCCTTCACTGCGCGGGTGCAGGCAGCCAAGACGCTGTCCAGAGGGGGAGAAACACACAGACACAAGTCATCGACGATCCCCAGGACAGATGGGAAAGTGTGGGAAGTGGGGAGGAAGACGGAACCCCAAAAGATATATTGGGAAAGATGGGGAATCTTGGGATGTGTGTCTGTTTATGTATGTGTCCCTGGGCCCCTTGCTCCATGGTTGTTGCTCTAGCGCTCCTCGTGCATCCGGGCGCTCCTGGGGCCAAAGATGGGCTTTTGGTGCTTGTTTTTTATGTATTGTTTTGCCGATCGGCGCGGGCCCTCGCACCCTCCCTCCTCCCCTCCCCTCCATGGAGTAGATCTTGGCTGTTTTTGGGCGCCTGTTTCGAGCAGGCGGATGCTCCCCCAGAGGACGCAATGCTGCAAATAGTCGCACTAAGCAGAGGTCTGGAGCCAGACCCCCCCCCCTTTCCACCCCCCCGTTCCGCCCAATGTCGAAACGCCGAACAAGAAAACGCTCACTTGGAGTTCCCTCTGGCAGTAGCGGCGGGCATACTTGGGGACCGTGCGCAACATCGGAGGCTAAGGCTGGACCTGTCGGAACGGCGGGCATACTTGGGGACCGTGCGTAACATCGGAGGCTAGGGCTGCACCTCAACGCTGTTTTGCTGGACTTCGGCTGGATTTCGTTCCCCACATCCAAAGTGGGGTTCTTGTTTTCACTGGACACCCCGCGCAGGAACAGGATTGAAGGAAGGAACACCCCTTCTCTTCTCACTCACACACTCACACACTCACATCATCATCGCAGCATGAGCACAACATCACTTACACACTCACTCACTCGACCACTCTCATTCATTTTTTCTGGACGCACCGCGCAGTCCTGTCACCTCACCCCCTCTCCGTCGTCTCGGGCGGGAGCTTCATTTGTGAGTGAATTGCGAGAAAGTCTCAGGCGGGAGCTCCCTCCCTATGGGGCCCGTAGCTCATGTTTTTAATCCGAGCAGGTCGTCGGCCTCCTGTAACTGTCGTCGCTTTTGGGGTCCTGAGGCCTGCTGAATGTGGAGGATGTATCAGGCGAGAGCCTCGTCTATAAGTGAATTGCGAAGACGTCTCAGGCGGGAGCCCCCTCCCTAAGGGCCCGCAGCTAATGTTTTCAATCCGAGCGGGTCATCGGCCTCTTGTAACTATCGTCACTTTTGGGCTCCTGAGGCCTGGATATGAAGGAAGTATCAGGCGGGAGCCTCGTCTATAAGTGAATTGCGAGGAAATCTCAGGCGGGAGCCCTCTCCCTATGGGGCCCGCAGCTCATGTTTTGTTTTTATTCCCCATATCCTAAGATGGGGTTCTTGTTATTACTTGGACGCCTCCTACTCCTCCTCCTTCCTCCTCTTTTCTCCTCCCCTCCTGTCGGACTTACTCATACTCACACTTGCCCATACTCAGACTTACTCATACACAGACTTACTCATACTCATATTTACTCATACTCAGACCTACTCATACTCAGACTTACTCACACTCAGACATACTCATACACAGACTTACTCATACACAGACTTACTCACACCCAGACGTACTCATACACAGACTCACTCATACACAGACTCACTCATACCCAGACTTACTCATACACAGTATTTCTAGGCTCAACATCCTTCGCTTGGAGAGCAGATTGTGAGGATGTCTCAGGCGGGGCGCTGGTTTCAGCACCCCTAAGGGGAGCCGCCAGGGGTGGTTGCACGGGCTCGTTCGCGGCCATTGTGTGGGGATGTCTCAGGCGGTTTGCTTGTTTCTGGGCCCAACATCCTTCGCTTTCGGAGCAGATTTGGAGGATGTCTCGAGCGAGGCGCTCATTTCAGCACCCCTAAGGGGAGCCGCCAGGGGTGGTTGCACGGGCTCGTTCGCAGCAATTTTGTGGGGATGTCTCAGGCGGTTTGCCTGTTTCTGGGCCCAACATCCTTCGCTTTCGGAGCAGATTTGGAGGATGTCTCGCGCGAGGCGCTCATTTCAGCACCCCTAAGGGGAGCCGCCAGGGGTGGTTGCACGGGCTCGTTCGCGGCCGTTTTGTGGGGATGTCTCAGGCGGTTTGCCTGTTTCTGGGCACAGCATGCTTCGCTTTCGGAGCAGATTTGGAGGATGCCTCGAGCGAAGCGCTCATTTCAGCACCCCTGAGGGGAGCCGCCAGGGGTGGTTGCACGGGCTCGTTCGCGGCCATTTTGTGGGGATGTCTCAGGCGGTTTGCTTGTTTCTGGGCCCAACATCCTTCGCTTTCGGAGCAGATTTGGAGGATGTCTCGAGCGAGGCGCTCATTTTCACCCCCCAGGTGGGCCAGATTTTGAGGATGTCTCGATCGGTTTGCTTGTTTTGGTGGCCAGGCTCGTGGGCGCAGATTCTTCTCAGGATGCCACAGGAGGCTCCAACAGGCTCCAGGAGGCCCCAGGAGACCACATGAGGTCCCAGGAGGCATCAGGAGGCCACAGAAAGATTCAAGAGGCCACAGGATGTCCCAAGAGGCTCCAGGAGGCCCCAGGAAGCTCCAGAAGGCCTCAGGAAACCACAGGAGGCCCCAGGAGGCAACAGGAAGCGCCAGGAGGCCTCGGAAGGCAACAGGAGGCCCCGAGAGGCCCCAGGAGCAGGAGGCCTCAGAAGGCAACAGGAGTGGCTCCAATCCCATGTGTTTTACGTATGCTCCTATCGATTGGGCCTCACCTGGAGCACGATTCTTTGATGTTCTACGTATGTTTCTATAGATGGTCCTTCTCCTGTGTACACAATCCTAAATGTTTTACTCATGTTCCTATGTATTGGGCCTCTCCTGGGGCACGAGTCCTTGGTGTTTTACGCGTGTTCCTATAGATTGCCCTTCTCCTGTGGCTCTAATCCGCAATGTTTTATGTACGTCTGTTGCTATAGATTGCGCCTCTCCTGGGGCACGAAACCTTCCTAGGAGGTCCCAGGAGGTCCCAAGAGGCTCCTGGAGACCCCAGGAAGCCCCAGTAGGTTTCAGGAGGCCCCAGGAGGCCCCAGGCTCATGCACAGAGACGCGCTCGTACTACTGAGGCTCATTCACACTCCAATTCATTCGCAGTTAGATTGATGTCCAGACCGTCACAACTGAAGCCCGTTAATATTCGAAAGCTCTTGCGCCTAGACATTCACGGCGGACAGGTCCATGCGAGTAGATGCACATATGGGGAGCTCCACGCAGTGAATAATGTTTCATCCGAGCAGGTCATTGGCCTCCTGTAACTGTCGTCGCTTTGGGGTTCCTGAGGCCTGAATATGGAAGTATCAGGCAGGAGCCTCGTCTGTGAGTGAAAGATGAGGAAGTCTCAGGCGGGTGCCCCTCCCTATGGGTCTCCCGCACCCCACGTTTGAATCCGAGGTGGGTCATCGGCTTCCTGTAACTGACGTCACTTCTGGGTTCCTGAGGCCTGAACATGGACGAAATATCAGGCAGGAGCCTCGTCTGTGAGTGAATTGCGAGGAAGTCTCAGGCGGGAGCCCCCTCCATATGAGGCCCGCACCTCACGTGTTTTCTCTGGGTCGTCCTCCGGCGCGCGCTTCCTCTGGGTCGTCCTCTGGCGCGTAGCCGTTGGGACGCACGTCGTGCGTTTCCTCTAGGTTGTGTTCCTTACAGGAAAGAGGAGGAGGATATGGAGGAGGAGGAGGACGAGAAGGAGGATGCAGGACGAGAAAGAGAAGGAGGAAT